CAAGCACAAAGGCACACATTTCTGCTCACGTAAACGTATAGGCTCTGTTTAGAGTTATATTGAAGAAGATCAGGCTCCTCAAATAAAACAATTTCTTATGCCCAGGCTGAGCGCCAGCACTGCAAGCAGAACATGAATATTCAACTCATTATACTTAAGTCTGTCCCATTGACACATTCCTTTGCTGAGTGAGCAATTCAGTAGCCCAAAATGGAGAACAAAATGGTGTTCAAAATTGGAGGGTATTTTTAATGAGATTCCTGGGATCAAAACCTCTCACGGATTTGGGCAATATTCACCTGACAACAAATTCAAGTATCCATTTGACTTTGACTGTTTCCAGTGCCTTATGGCCAATGTAAATGTTAGCGGAGAGAATAAAAGCCACAAGGACTTCTCTCTGCAACACCATTACATCCAAGCAAAAATACTCGATTCAGAGGTACTTATAAACCCCGGAAAACCAGTTCAAACTCTCTGACTACACTGAACACTAGAGCTAACTTTGTATAGAAGATGATGCTGGTTTGAAACTCCCCAGAGTGTCAGACCTGATCTTATATAACCCAAGGCTTACTTGAATAAGAGAAGTGCCACAAGACACTAAGGTTATGTGTGACTTGCAGCCTCCTGGGACAGACAGGGTTAGTGCACTGCAGACTGCTTTGTGGTAGCGGAAAGCCACATTATTCAGGAAAGGGAAAAAAAAAATCCACCTTTCCTCTGCATGTCAGGCAAGATCTCTTTTATCATCTGGGCTGCAGATGAGAGCTCTGATCCTGTCCCCTTCTTCGTGGAGATAATGCTCCAGTTCAGTTCTCCTCCTGCTGTGGCTGGGACTTGCTAAAAACTCCTTCTGATCTACTGTGATCAGCTTCATCCTTCTTCTTTGAGACATAAACCCCTTTCCATGAAAAAAAACACCAAAAATCACATGGTTGTAGTTTCAGCAACATTTTCTAAAGTCAAAGCAGACATTACCTGGACTGATAGAAATCAGTGGGCTAGTAAGGATATTCGCCACTTGGGTTCTGGTGATAGACCTGGCTTCACACAGAATACCTGCCTTACAGCATAGTCTTTTGATACAAAATTGGCTCAGAACATCATAGGAGGAGACTGAAGAAATAAAGAAGCAGAAAAAAGCATCCAGCAAAATCAGTGTATGTACTCTTCCAAGTCAGGACATACACACAAATAAAGCCAATCCTATCTCTGCAAACTGTAGTACGTATTGCAAAACTACAAAAATAAAACCAAACAACCCCCCAACCAACCAACCAACCAACCAGTGAGCCAAAAAAACCCAACCCTGTCCTCATTTATAGCCCTGCTTTTAGAAAAACCTCACATAATGCAAACTTCCCTAGGAAGGAACAACCAGCAAGCCACTAGTTGACATTCTTTCCAGTTTCATCTTGATTGTAAAAGGTTTAGAGAATAGGAATAGCTTCCTGCGAGGCTTTACACTGAAGAAGGAGAGACAAAGAGGAGAGACTGTATGACCTGCGTCATCAGTGGAAATTCTCCCTCCAGAAGAAACAAGCATAGGCTTTACAAAGGAAGATCAGAAAAAGTCATCATTAACCACATGTCAGTTCTGAGGCAATACCTTAATCTGGCAAGAGAGCACACAGGTTTTATTTTGTACCAAATCTCCATGTATGGAGTCTGATGAAGGTCATGGAAAAATACATGCTTTTCCAGCAATGCCCCTGTATAGGATATATTTCAAAGCCTAGGTGGGACGATCTGGCTAGAGAACTGTCTTAGGTAGTGACCTAAGCTGTAACAGTGTCCCTTAATGTGACATAAAAAGCCCTATTGCCTTGCTGCAAAGCAGCACTGGCATGTCCATATCACCTCAGTCACTGGAGATGACTATGAAGCACCCGCACCAAATAACACGGTTTTCCACATGGTGGTGTCTTCCCGCACGTTTCAGTGCCTCTATCACCCCAGGATCAGAGATCTTTTCTCATGAAATAAATGGCTTTGGAAAAGTACTTACTAACCTTTCAGGACTTTGCCAGGTTTTATTTGTCCAGAATCAACGTTTGAAGGCTGGACTTTTTTGAAATCTAGTCACATGAACCATTTTGGGGTAGAAAGTGTGTCAACAATTATTTTTTAAATTTTATACTATTTAAAATAGAAATTAAGTACAGATTGGATCACTGCAATAACCAATCTCCTGTCACCTTGAGTGATAGGGTTAGGATTAGGGTTAGGGTGAGCCCATCCTCTTACTTTGAGTGACACGATGCTGAAAATGCCTCTTCCTTTTCATGGATGTTACTTGGAGTAGTTTGTTCTGAGTATTCCACTGGGTTTTGTCTATTCCACTGAGTCTATTCCACTGGCTTGTCACTTCATGGAATATGTGATGAACACAGCAATTCGATTGATCAGCTGCCAGCACTCTTCCTTCTCTCTTCTCAAGTATCCCCCCAGATTTAAACCTCCCACACTATTTATCCACTGAACTCTTCAAGGGGACACAATCTGTGATAACACTATATACCACCTTCAGCAAAAGGATGCCTCTGTACCCTGACACAAGTAACAACTGTTAAATAAATGAGACTTCTGTAAGAAGTAATTTTACAAAGGCTTAGGAAAGGCTACAGCCTGTATATCATTATCAGTCTCATCTGGACACAGACCAAACCTGTGAGTCACAATTATCGTAAGACAAATGGCAACTGTGCTTTGGAGCAGGTCAACCTTGTAAGAAATGTCAGCAGCTGTCAGGACAACTGCACAGCTCTGTAGCTGGCACCTCTGCCATCTTTCAAACATACACTTACCAGGGGATTAGGCTCTGTCACACAGTCCGCATTATCTCTCTCACTCACTTTTTCATCACCTTTTTTGTATCCCCTAGACCACACTGAATCACAACTTACTGTAAACACACTGGTGCGACTTCTGACCATGTATTTTCTGTGTGATTGCTGTTCACTACCTTTCCTTTTTTAGCCTGTAGAAATCCATTCCTTATTTTGACTTTTGCCTGAATCATCAAGTGACATCTACAATTCACTTCCTCAGGCAAGAGCAAATACCCGCCAGTGCTAACAGCAATAAACACCGTGGGCTGCTGCTCTGCCCTGCAGTGACTGCAGCTTTTGTTTAAAGGCACCACAGGGCTGCTGGGCTTACAGCATATTTCTTCATCCTTGTAAATTTTAAAAGTTTTTATTTACACCAAACATGTCACCTTTCCTTCAAAGAAAAACTCTGTTAAAATGGTTCCACAGGGTGTGTTAAACTTTTATACAGAGAAAAAGAAAAGAAAAGTAAGCAGGACTGTGCCGTGCCACAGACTTTACTTTAAAGGATCTCTTTCACAGTCCTTTTAGGGGTTTCTGAACAGGAGTTTTATGAATTTATAACAACATATATGTCAGGCAGACACTGGAATTCAAATTATTTTAACTTCAACTAAAGGCCTGTGTTTGAATGTGTGAATGCATTCCTTTGTGGCTAAGATTTCTGGAGTCTTATAACTGCAAAGACCATATCTTCATTATAAATGTTCCATTTCTTAGTCATTCTTGGGTCAAAGGACTGCTGGAGAGAAAATCTGCACAAGTGTGGTCGAGGAGGAAGCAGAAATCAGATGAGTTTTGTTGCAGAAGTAGGGATGTGCCAAATGTGCTCACTGAGCCTGCATCTCTGTTAAGTATCGAGATCTTTGGCACCAAAAATGCATAAAACAAAAATGAATATTGGCATTGCTGAGCTAGTACCTACATGGCAATGTGATCTGTCTTGATCCTAGTTGCTCAGGTTCTATTGGACTTATTTACTGTTATGTGGGAGATTTTTCTTGGTTTCTTTTAATACAGAGTCTGGATGCCTGCTGAGTTGAAAGGTTACTACAGACCTCTGTATTTCCCTAGCTGGTTGTTACTACTGACTTCTTAACTGTCAGGATGGCTCACAAATGGCTGGCTTATTGGACTAGTTAGTTTAATGACTGTCAAAGAAAAGACATTCTTTCACAATGAACCCTGTAATTGTTTCTTTGGAAACTCTTTTTCAAGCATTTGCTAAATACAATAAACATTTCCATGTGGATATACCAGCAATGCAGCATACAAATCACATGGTTGGAATGAGGCATGAAAATGGCTTTGTGTTTTATGAAAGTCTGATTGATTTTTAGAAACAGGACTGCTATTTTCAGTTAAAATTTTCAGAAAAAGAAAAAAAGAAAGCTTTTAAATTCAAGTTTTATGATCTAGGCATTACAAGAACTAGGAGTAGAGGCAAAAAGCACACTGCCTGCCTTCCCCACTGCCGCATTTCTAGCAGCCAACTAATCCCTTTCCTAAATCCTCCAAAAGCCTCAGAGATGGCTCACACATAGGAACTAACTTCCATTCTGTTCCATGCAGAAACAACCATCAGCACTTTGCCAAAGTAGAACCTCTCATGTAGGTGCCAACACAAATATGCCAGCTAGGAAGGAGAATCCTGTCAAAGGCAGGGCTTGGCTAAATAATCTAACCTTTTTCTTGGCTTGGCTTGTACAATGTATCAAACTGCCCCATTCTGGCTACTGTTTTGCCCAAGGCCATTGGTCACTGCAAATAAATTAATTTTTAAATCAACACTGTAGTAACATTTTCTTATAACTTAAAATGTTAGTTACAGGCAGGGTACCCAAACATGAGCTACAGGGAGCAAAGCACACCTATCATTTGGGGTAACACATACTCAGAACAGTCATTTAGTCCTGGCATCATATTTATGCCCCTGCAATTAGCCAGGCCAACTTTCCAATAGATATATTCTTGAGGCTGATGCTAAACTCCACACACTTTATATCATTTACATTCTGTTACCATTGTTTAGTTCTTGTGCACTTCCTTCTCATTCTCCCAGAGAATAGGGACAAGCAGCATCTTACTATGATTCAATAAGAAACTTTAATTCTGCACATTTCTCTGCATTCTAATGAAGATTTAGCAGCAACCTGATTTTAATAACATTTCTTTCCCACCTTTACATGAGATTTAAATAACCATAACTGGCATTTTTTTATTCGCTTCACCTCAAAAGATTCCAGTTCCAGCAGAGCCTTTGCTATTCTTGCACTAAGAAGTTGATAAGGGCAGTTCTGGGAGACAGAAAGGCCTTTTTAATGGTTCGTCCCTGGAGATGCTTGACTCCAAGCTCACTTTGAAGAACTAGCTCGTGGACTTGTTCACAATTGCGAGCTGCTTGCTGAGGCACAAACACTTTGCCACAAACTTTGTTATTGATCTGAAAAAGAGACATGAAAACAAGAAAAACAGAAGTTACTAGACTGATTTCTACAATTTCATTTCCTGAATCCAATCCATCTCTTTACACAAGGAAAGGGAGAAAGTGGATGAAACTCTTTTTTCTCTAACACCAGACTTTCTGAGTAGAGGATAAAATTCTTCATATCTCCTATCCATCTATCACAAAATAAAAAAATGAAACTCTGACTCATGATACGCAAAATAAAATGAAGAAGTGGCCACAGGAAGTCTTAGTTTTGAAGACAGCAAGCAGCACGTGACTGTGAAATGCAGTGATCTTTTAATTTAAAAAAACGCGATAGTTACATAAGCTGAATAACGAGTGATAACATAATGGTCTGTCTGATGGGAACCTCGGTTTGTACATTCTTCTGGGCAGTAGAGATTTGGTTTCTTTACAGCTAAGTGATGCATTGCAGAGATTCAAATGAAAGTTTCTTATTTTTAGTAAAATAGGCTTTAACTTGCTATATGTTGCACTCATACTAAACACATGACTCAGTCCGACACTGACCACAAAGACGTCAGCCACTCATCAGGTCATACTTTCCTGTGTGTTGCTGGTTTTCAGAGCAGCTTCCACACTGGTTTTGCATCAGCAGGGCAGAATCGTGTAAGTAAAGCTGAGTAAGGCCTGTGGTGGGAATCACCTTAATTTATAAAATGGTCCTATAAATACTTTCTGTCATCCAGTAAGGGCAGATAGTGGACAGAGACTACAGAGCCTGACTGAGTACGCTTCTGGAACTGGCACAAATTTCAGAATTACAAAAGCTTTCAGATTTAGATGGAGCATTTTTGGTGGATTAGTGAGAAAAATATCAATCCCACATTTTATCAAATGAAATAATTTGAACTTTTTAACCCAGTTATTCACATTACTTGTAGGAAAATCTGCTGCAGGTACTGTAGATAGATCTCCGACCTTTAGGCATCACTGTAAGCAGCAAAAGAAACATATGTTGCTTCATACAGCTTGGACATAAAAATGCACACAGCTTGGTTTTCACGTGGATTGTATCCAGCATACCTGTATGCAACATACCACAAATGAGTGGGACCTAGTTCACTTACCTCATTTGTATTTTACTGAAAATAAAATAATCTGTGCAATTCTCTGAGAGAGGAAGTTGGGACAGACTTTTAAGAAGCAAGATGAAGTCTCAAATGCAGCTGGCATGAGTCACTTCTGTTTTTTGACTAGACTTGACATGAATTTGCAGTGATAATGTAGGTAGGCTTTTAACTATTCCTACATGCATCCATAACATGGCATCATAAAAGGCTGAATGTGTTAAACTTTGCCTTTAGCACTTGGTGCAGAGTAAATCCCTTGAAAAACAGAGTTAATTTTTTAAGCTTTTTGTGAAAAATAGATACAAGTAGTTCTTTTTGATGGAGCACTTCAGAGAAATGCATTCCACAGGAAAAAGAAAACAGTAAAATCCAAACAGATACAGTTTTAGTAAGAATATAAAGCAAGCTTCTCAGCTTGCTGCTAGGACACGCAGCCCGCAGTTCAAAACTATGCCTGCTTAGTTAAAATGTCATTCACTGTCCTCCATCATGCAAATTAATATGTCCCAGTGGATGGATGTTGGCAGGGGGAAATTTTCCACAACTAGCCTATTCGGTGCTGTTCTCAAAAGAAAAGCCAAGCGATCTAAATCGACTTGGTAAATAAATGACTGCTAGTGGTTGTGTTTTCCTAGAAAGGTCGAGAAGCCTGGGTGACCTGGCACTGTGTACCTTCCCACAGCACGTCTCCACCTTCCCACAGCAGGTCTCCTGATCTTCCCACACTACGCTGTGAGCTGAGTCTGAAACCTCTATGAAACAGCAGATTGGTTATGATTTCACCACATCTCTGCAGCATGGCTTTCATTAAATCATAGGTATCATGAAGCATTTTAACACTATTCTTAAAATAGGCATCTGCAGAGTTAATCACACACTGCGTGTAACAAGCGTCCTATTCACATATCCTTTTGTCAAAGGCTTAGGCTCTCAGCAGAAGAAATACCTTCTGCTATGCCTCCATCTCTGTATCACACTAGACCAGAATAAGCTTCGGCAACTCCATGTACAAGTGCCAGAGCAAGAAACTTGGGTGCTAGCACCCTTCTTTCTCTAAAACCCATGGCAAACTGCAAGAGGAGAAATACAGGAGGCTTGGGTCCTTTCTTCCCCTGAGAAAGGAAGCTGTTGCTTTCTTCTTCTCTTCTTTACCGACTCCCCCTTTTTTTAAAAAAAAAATTCACATTCTAGACTATTCTGGATCTTCGGGGAGCTAGTGGGAACTAGAGAGGTTATAAAAGATTAAATGAAATCAGAAAAGACTGAAAAATAAGCACCTTGAGGCTGCAGAGAGGAATTTTTAATTCAACTCAAATATTTTTTTTACCATAAATGCATAATCCTTCTGAGAAGTAAAAAGGAAAATAAATATCTGTGCACTGTTAGGCCTCCCTCATTGCCAAAGCAAGAAAAATGACACCAACCCTTTTTTTTTTGTATTTATAAAAACATCAGTTATAAGACCACATCTGCTAACAGTTCTGCACCACGTAGAAAATGTGAGGAATGCTAGTCAGAAGTGTGTTCATAGGATGAAATGCACACTACATTCAGGTCAGATTTTTCACAGCATTAACAATATACAGTATGATTTAAAATCCTCAACTTTGCAGTAACACTTAGAGTAACAGATACTGTGATATCCAGTGAATTTAAATGTCTTTCTTGTAGGCAAGAAAGACATTGTATCAGCCAAGAATACAGTGAGTTGGTTGCTTTTGCTGCTTTGGGTTAAATATGGAAAGACATAACTCCAGCACAGACAGGAAATAATGAAGTATTTTGTGTGAAGAGAAATAAAACCATAATGTCTCAGCAGGCAAATCCCTGGCAGCCTGAGGCAGTTTGTCGTCTCGAGAAGAATAGGGTTGTGGCCCAAAGACTCGGTTTGACTGTACAGCCTTGTGAACAGACACTGCCTCTTTGCAACTAACTAATTCCTCTGTATGTCGAGTGTTTCTTGGTTTAATGAGGGCAATTTCTTTTTGCAGCCATACAAAAACCTACAGTGCCCACAAGTCTTTAAGATATTCACATTTTCTGCTCCTCCATGTTTCCCTTTTGCCTTACTCTTACAGTAGAAAGCCAGGCACACTCCCTAGGCACTACTTTTAAGAATTATTCCCAGTTCAAAAAAGGAACTTGTCTCTCTGGTCTTTCACTCACTTGCTTTCTCAGAACTAAGGAAGGTGTTTACATACGTCATATTCTTCTATGATTATATGACTGAGAACTGACAGGGGATCCTTTTTCTCCTATACAAGATTTCTGCACAATGCCAAAGTCAACCAGGATAAGAAACAAAAATAATTTTCATAATAGTTGTTTAAAGCAAAATTAATTTTTTTCTAGTGTTTTTTTTTTCTTTTTTGAGATAGAAGTTTTATTGTCAGTAGAAAAATATCATTACAACATTTAGGTGTTCTCATGTTTGGCTGTGTAGTCCTACAGACACCGAGTTCAGAGTTTTCCTTGTATCGCTGAAGTTGTTATTTCAAAGATATGTTTAATAACATGTTTGCTTTAACCACAATTGCAAAGACGTTTCTACAATTACACAATTTCTCATTCATGACTTCCTTGTAAACTGAACACTGGAATTCAAGATGTTTGTTAGCTGTGCTTGGATGTGAAAGTTTATTTTAAGCTTGAGGAAAGTGATTATACCTCAGTGAAGATTTTTACTGGTATAAATAAATGTTTATCACTTAAAGAAAGAAAGAGGGGGCAAGAAAGAGAGGGAAAGAAAGAGGAAAAAAGCAATTAATCCACAGTAACTATTACGCAAAGTCTGCTATTAACCCCAGCTGGCACTTGAGTCCTTCCCCTCAGTTTGGGAAAAGGTGCCAACTGGAAATTTCCTTCAAAAATACATACTCCATGACCTTTAAGTATGTTACAGCAGCATTTCTCGCTCTGTTCAAGTAGACTGACTGAGAGATCTGGCAAGATATGAAATTATTTGCAAACATACTTTGATTAAGCAAATCTCCAGCAACATGACTTCCACTAAATTCAACTGATCTCCTCCCTCCTCATAAAACTCAGCTCAACAAAAATAACCCAACCGCCTTGCTCTTTCTCCCAAAGGAGGGAACAGAATTAAAACACAACTGAAATGCACTGCTTCTGTTTCTCTTACACATACAGAACATGGAGTTTTATGTGACCAAATGACATTTCTTCTAGAGGGTCAATTTCATTCAATGTACAGAAGCAAAAAAAAGTGTTTTAAGTCAAAGAATTTAATTTATTTTAAAACTTTTAAGTTTAGAATGTCTGCATGGTATATTACAGGTTCTTCTTTGGTCAACAGAGAAAAAGGCAGGAGTCTTGCAGGTCTAATAGTATGCAACCATGCTAATTATAGACTATCATAATGCCTGAAGATGAAGAAGCTTGAAGGCAAGTTGACCAGGAGTCAGTCAATGAAGAGCTGAGACACTGTTCATGGATCCCACACACGTGGCTCCAGGCATTCCCTCTATGGCCTGCAGTATGACTCGCTGCTCCTGTGCACTATCTGATGATAAAGCTTTATGATGCCTGGGAGCATGCTGAACACAGACTAATTAACTAGAGACATAGGGAAAAAGGCAGTAAACTACACTGTGCATGTGCACGTTGGAATATGACAGGAGACACTGTTCATGGATCCCACACACGTGGCTCCAGGCATTCCCTCTATGGCCTGCAGTATGACTCGCTGCTCCTGTGCACTATCTGATGATAAAGCTTTATGATGCCTGGGAGCATGCTGAACACAGACTAATTAACTAGAGACATAGGGAAAAAGGCAGTAAACTACACTGTGCATGTGCACGTTGGAATATGACAGGTTAACTTAGTTACATG